GGGCTTTGCCCTGATTTACAAGCAGTCTTGTTCTATTTTAGTGTTATTTTTTGTATTAACACACTCTGAGTCTTTCCAATCGATACAGTCTCACGGAAAACTTTTTGGTAGCTCTTGAAAATTTTGAGATACTCTTTTAGCAAACAGGATCTAATCAACGTCTAAAACAAATTCTTTTTTCTATTCAGTGTTTAAAACGTAGCTTTGCTCAAATTTTTTTAACAAAAAAAATCGTGCTATTTTTTTGAAATTTTGGAAATTGAGCTATACATTGGTTAAATTTTTATGTTTGTAGACATTAAGGCAACACTCAAAAAAGGTTATCAAGAGCTACTCGGGTTGACAAAAAACTCTACTCGTACAGTTCACAAATGTGAAACTAGAATTTCTAATGTACAGAAAACTGTCTGATAACTCTATGATTAGCAATTTTATATATATATGTTCTCATCATTAGATTTAGGTTATCAATTTTTTTTTGTTCTCAATTTTAGCTTCAAAAGTTTTTCAGTTGATGTAGAAGCCAACACAATAAATTAAAAAAAAAATTGAAATTGTATGACTTTTTTATGATGGGTTTTTTTATGTGGTTTCAAACCCGAGTAAATGACTGGGTAGCTTTTCCATTTGATATGATTGGGAGTAGAATATAATGCCGCTTATCAGGGGATGACAAGGCTCCATTTTTTACGATTGCCTATAGATCAGAAGAACTTCCACATATGTATTCAGACAAGGCAAAAACTTTGAAAGGCTTTAAGAAGGGGAAAATCTTACAATTCATTTTTTCTATTTTTCTATTTTCTAAGAATTTGTCCGTTTTTAGTGCTCCTGATCTAATAATAGGATATGTTTATTGTAGTTCTGATAAAACAGTCACCAAATGCTGTATGATGAAAATCTTATTCTCATGGCGAGACAATAGAAAGAAATTTTGTAGTTTTGCATGCCAATAATTATTATTATCCTCCAAACTCTTTGATAAAATGTTAACAATTTTGTACAATTAAGCTAGATTTTCTCTTCTTTAGTGTTTTAACTGTTCAAACCATGACTGAAACAATCCTGAAACAAACTTAACTTAGGCTGAAACATAGCTGATAGTTTTGAATGCTCGGCAAAATTTTAGAGTTAACCATAGTTTTGAGAAAAATAACCAGCAAATTGACAAGTTTAGACCCATTGCCAGCCATCAATTTGTCGCTCGCAGACTTATGTTTGGACCTTGCAGACTGATGTTCAGACTTCACACACTTATGTACAGAGTTTAAAGACTCAGCTTTAGACTTTGCAGGCTTATGGGTCGACTTTGCAGACTGATTTTCAGACTTTGCGAACTTATGTTTACTTTTTGGAGACTTATGATCAGACTGTGCGTGCTTATGTTCATTTTTTGGAGGCTTATGATCGGACTTTGCCGATATTTTTCAGATTTTGTAGGCTGATGCTCAGAGTTGCTAGACTTATTTTTTTTAGAGTTATGTCCACACTTTCAGACTCTTGCGCAGACTTTGCAGACTTTCTGCTTAAGCTTTGCAGACTCTAACTTGGGCTGAGGCTGAAAATTGTTTGTACCAATGCAGATCGATTCAGATTTATAAACTTTGCAGACTCTAACTTGCGTTGCAGCTGTGAATTTTCTGTACCGATGCAAATCAGTTCAGACTTATAAAGTCGAACCATAAAAACCACCATATGTAAACTGATATTCAGACTTTGTAGACTTATGTTTAGATTTTGTTGACTTTATAATCTGACTTTGCTGACTTTGGTCCAGTTCTTGCAGACATATGATCAGACTTTGCACACTTATGTTGAGACTTTATACATCTATGTTCAGACTTTGCGAACTGATTTTCATGCTTAGCAGTTTCTTGCTCAGACTTTGCAGATTTTATGTTTACGCTTTGCTGACTCTAACTTGGGCTGTGATTTTTTTTCTACCAACGCAGATCGAGTCAAACTTCTGAAATCGGACCATAAAACACGACCAGGAATCAAGCAACTAAATTTTTGAAACAGATTTCACCTCCTTTTTTATAGAAAACTTTATTTAATCTTTTATCATGACATAAAAACCAACCAAGACGAAAATTTTAAGTACCAATATGTTGCAACAAGACGGTTGTAGTCAACCTCAGGTCAAAAAGTATCATAGCTAATTTTTATTTAACTATCAATATGAATTGTTGCTGGGCTTAAAAATTGACTTAGTTTTTCATAGGAGAGACATGGTTTCTACTAATTCAGAAATTCTCGATGGTTCTTCATAATTTTGAAAAAGAAATAGTATATTATGAGCAAATAATGTTCATAGATGATATTATTAAAAAAAAATCATTTAATTTCAGGCAAACCAAATAAAAATTACGATAATTCGACTATCCTTCAGCTCGACGCAGAATAATAATTAAATAGAGAATTCAGATAATAGGTTTAATATTTTATCGATAGCTTTTGTAATTATGAAAAAGAAATTGTATGGTATGAGCAAACAATATTCTTAAAAATAAGTTTAAAAATCATATAATTTATGGCAAACAAAAAAGATTTCCAATAATTTGATTATCTTGAGCTCGTCGAAGAATATGATTAAAAAGACTTGCTAAGTGCGAGCGTAAACATAGCATTAAGATATGTGAAACAAAAATTCACGAAAGCTTTTCGTTAATTTGAATCAGAAATTGAATGATGAGCAAATGATTTTGTTAAAAAACTATAATCAAAAATGATATAATTTCAGGCAAAACAAAGATTTAGAATAATGTGATTATCCTTGAGCTCGACGCAGAAGATAATTGAACATAGCATCTATGAGTGCAGTAGAAAGATAATTTAAATTTAAATTATTTTTCACTCCGTTCAGTATAGAACACTAGTGGATAATGTTTTTGTCAGATTGGTTGTCTTCGCTGAAAACTTTGTTTCATCGTTGCTTCGTAAGAAATCAAAACTCAATTTACAGTTCAGTTTTTGAGGTTAGAAAGAGATGATGTCCTGAACATCGTCGGGGGACCCTTTATGGCTGTCACTTGTAGGGTGTAATCTTGTAAGTGACACTTGAAGGGGTGCCTTGCAGAATGTCACCAATTGCTGGATTTCACTTGCTGAGGATGAGTGAGCTTTGAGGGGTACCCTTGTAGGATTTCTAGTGTTGCTGATGCTTGAGCCTTAGCTGATGTACGACTTTTCAGGGCGTACCCTTGCAGGATGTCATTTGTTGACCCTGACGCGTCACGACTATAAGACACTAGTCGATCGAAATGTTTTTAGTGTGATTGGTTGGTGGTGATTGAGAACTTATTTTAAATTTTAATTGCCTTTTCGTAAAAAGTCAAAAGACATTTTGTAGTATTTGCAGTTAGAAGTATACGATGACATCAACTTCCTCGGACGTCCTTGATGGGTGTCACTTTAGGGGGAACATTTGACGAGTGATCCTTTTGGGAAGGGGGGGGGGGGGGGGTAGTCTTGCAGGATGTCACTTGCTGAAGAGTGACTCGCGACTTCAAAAATCGGACACCAAATACAAAACACTAGTCGATCATAATGTTTTTTGTCAGATTGTTTGGTCCTGATTGAGAACTTTGCTCGTTCGCGGCTTCGTCAATTACTCTCTATCATTTTTAACTTAATTCTCTTTTAAGGAGTATTTGGCATGCGCTTTCCACCCGTACCTTTTTATGTTTAAATCTTTTAATGCGAAAAAATTTTTTAAGAAAAAATTAGAAGATAAATTTATAAAATTCACGAAGTTTATAACAGGTTGTTAGATTCGAAAACCGAAACCATGTGTAGTTAATATACTACCCTTAGAATTATAGATTTAAGCTTTCCCGGCGCAACTGCATCACCAGTCCATAATTGGCGATGCAGTTACCGTAATGTTTAAAATTGCTCACCAAGTAAGATTAAGACCATTTATCCACGGTGGAAAGGACCAACACAAGAGCTGTACAGCTCATCATGGCGAAACGCTGTTGTGCCCCTGTTTAAGAACTACGTGCAATTTTTTTGGTTATTTTTCTGGGCTGGGTAATGTTGCTTCACCCTCAAGCAGCGAGCACGGATCATGGTGGGCCTCGAACATCCGACCTTCCGATTTAGAGGCGGAGACGTACCCACTTCACCACCGCTCCCATTCACTTCACCACCGCTCCCCTCCCCTCCACAACTACGCGCATGAAATACAAGAAAAACTGAAGCATGCGTAAAACTATCTATCCACAGATGCAAAAATGGGGAACCGACCTTTTACCAGAAAAGTTATAACATGGACCTTTTACCAGACTCGATAAACAATTTTGATTGACAGATGTATCGACGCCGTTTAGTCTGGTTAAAGACAATGGTTTCACGGTTTTTCAGCTTCGTTTTGTTTGTTCTAACCGCTACCTTTTCGAATCGTCCAGTAATTTTAATTTATCTTAATTGAATTATTGCTTTGTGGTCTGGTAAAAGGTCGGTCTGGTAAAAGACCTAGCCCCGCAAAAATGCTATTCCAATTTGTCAAAAAGAAGTTATTATGCATCGTAAAAACGGGTCTAGGACAACAGGCCGACGAGACTTCAAGCCGAAGGGACTTCAAGCCGAAAATAAAAGTTTACCAGCACCTCAAAACACTTTCATCATCTGTAAAACCTTGCTTTTCAAAAATTTAGGCATGTTTAGTCATACATAATAAGCGTTGCTCATGACAATGCACCACTTCTGATCGTCATCCGTTAATAACATCAGCCGGTTTTTTTGAATTTTTTGAGAATTTTTGAACTCAAATTTTATGAAAACGCCATTAACTAGGGAAGAAAGAACATGAAATTCAGAAATTCTTCAAAAAAGTTTTCAAATTAGTCATATTTCACGACTTTATAAGGAACTATTCGGCTTGAAGTCCCTAATTGCACGATTCAGCTTGAAGTCCCGTCGGCTTGATGTCCGGCACCCCGTAAAAACATGCTATACTTCTCTCAACTGATCACTTAAAATACAGGGATTCAAAAGACAGTTCCAAAAAATTGCATTTCCAATGGCGGCTGCAAAAGGCAGTTAGCGCTTGAACGCTAGTTGAACTATTACTACTATCAATAGTGGATGTTATATATTAACATTGTCAATTAATATTTATGCATTTGAATATTAATTCACACATGATTATAGCAGAATCTACGGGACTAAGTTAGAAAACAATTCTCCTCTAGCCCCTTAAACCTTCATTTTTTCTAAAATGACTTCCGGAGATTCTATCATCAATTGATTCCAGCAACAATCCACATTTAACCGACAATTTTGGTTTCTCAGGGAGCTAGATACGAGACAAAAACGAAAAGAAGTTTTGAGTTTTGCTGTGAAATACTCAGTTTATTTTCAAGTTACGTTTCTTTTCACCACAATCATTCTTACTATTTCGCCTCTTCTTTCTTTTCTACAGTGACTTGTAGTATAATAACGAGTGATGTGGCGGCAAATTAGTGACTGAGTGGCTCTAATATTGGACCGTGTTTCTTCCGAGGATGCATCTGACATCGTGAACAAATCGAAGTGCGTCTAGGAAGGGCAGCAGATTCAACAGACACGTGTCCGAGGAGTCGCCGAACCAGGATTTAATGGGAATTGCATTGGCTGAAACAACAACAAATACATTACCTTTGCATTATTTTGTATGATCCTGTTCGCTTTCTCACTTGATTTGCTCATTGTTGTCTAATATTTGTGAAAAGTTCGTATTTTCAAACTTTTTTAGGTCTTTTATTAAACTTTGAAGTTTCAAAGTTATTATAACAGTTTGTTCATAATTCCGTTTTTACCTACGTTAAATACAGCAAAAATGTAGATTAAAGCAAGGATAGTCGGTTACTGCAAGAAGCACAGACTATTCCGACCATAGTCTTAAAAAATACAACAAAAAAGTTTTTCAAATTAGTGTCGTTTTATTCGTCGTGATGTGATAAACGGATCATAAAAAAAACTAAAGATTAGGGATCTTTGACACTCAAAAGAAAATAAGCAAATTGAAAAACTAGAAAAGCGAAAATTTGACTAGAAAAAACTAGAAAAGCGAAATTTTTTTTAATGCAGTCCAAAAAGACGCTAAAATACTCAAAAAAACTACGGTTACTTGAGTAAAACTCAAATTTTTGTTCAAATTTAGCTATTGCAAGCTTTTAAGCCATTAAAACAAACTATTATAAGCCTGCTCGCTCGCTTCATTCGCTCGTATTAAGACGAAAAACCAAAAATTTCAAACCGGTTTTTTTTCGACACTGGGAAAAGTTTTTGGAAATTTGTAGTGTCGTTCGACTCGCGACTGTAAGGGCTTCAATAAAATATATCACTCAACTCTCTCCCATGATAATTTATGGTTGCTCATTTTGCGTGGAAAACGAAAAAAAAAAGAAAAACTAATGGTCGGAACAATCAAGGTTTTCGCAAATTAAATATAAGATACTTCCGATAGATAATACCTCACACATTAAATGGCCAAGTTTTACACAGAGGCCAAGCTGCGCTTCGCAAATACTTGCGAGAACACGGCCAAAAAGCAGCTCTATCAAGTGACATAAAAAAGTATAAATAAGCCTCGAATTTGCAAAAACTCGAGGCTTAGCAAAAACTCGAATTAGCAAAAATCTGCGACCTAGAAAATTTGAGTCTCACGCACTAACCGCTCAGCCTCGGATGTTTAAATTCCTAGCCACGGATGCTAGCCACCAATTCGACTACACCAGCTACATATGTTAATAAACTTCCAATTCGACGCAGCAAAAGTAGCACCAAATACAAAAAGATACAATTTTGCATGTAATAAATTGCAAATCATAAAACCACATTATGTATAAATTATGCATTTCGAAAAATTGCGAGATATATTGAATTAGAAAATTTCTGAAAACGAGATTTTATTATTGTTATGTTGTTTGAAACAAATAGCTTTATCGATTCATTTGTGAATTAAAAATGCATCAACTGTGTAAACTTATAACTATTCGAATGTCAAAGCACATTTGATCAATAAGCTGTAAAGGTGCAACAATAAGCTGCCACGCCAACTCGATGTAGCAAATATTGCTGCTTTAAATATTTGCGACTTAGTAGCAACAATATTTGCGACTTAAGTTGGAAAAAAAAGGAAGTTCGTACTAAACACTTTGCTTCGCAAGTGTAAATAGGTACCGCCAGATTCCACCCTTCACCGAAAGAGCAATCGTTAAAAGTGGAAAATAGGATGAAACAACTGTGCGGCACTTTTCCCTCGTTGCGGGACGGCATCTATAAGAACACTATCTTCTCACATTCAACCTGGGCATATCTGGCAAACATAGTAAGCCTCCAACCTTCCATTAGAGAACAAAAAAAGTAAGAGAAACTTGACAGATAGGCATTTTGAACCAATTTGATTGCTGAAATGTCTGTTCGAAACCAAAATTTACTCGCCTTCAACCAAAATTTACTCTGAGCAGATATGACAGAATGAAAAAAAAAATTATATTATTAATGTATATGTGTAGTGTGCTTACATTTATAGTTGCGGTATGCGGATGGCGAGTTGTCCAGTAGGATTACACTGCTCATGTCAGAATGTACTATGCGCAGGTCCTTGGAGTAAGAGTAGCTAACGTCCAGTGTGCAGTGCTGGCGGAAGAAACGTCTCTTCAACATACCTACAAACACACCACTAACGATTCAATTTAACTATTATAAAGACATCATTTCGCGTTCCTGCCATTGCTCCGTGCTACTGCTGATATCATTTCACAACTTTTTATTCGATTTCATGTTCGTTGCCACTAATTACTTCACGTTTGCCACTATGATTTCACGTTTTTACAAAACATCGCGATAAATAAGTAATCAAATGATTAATAAACTTTTTCGTATGAACAGCCAATCAACATACCTTTTGTTAAAAAAAAAAGATCTAGTTCATGTACTTTTTTAATAACTAGAATAAGCAAATAAATGAGCAATCTCCCCCGTAACAATAAACTCATGCAGTAAATAAACGTGCGAAAATATGGCAACTGATTCATTCAATCAATGAACTACACTCTCCCTTAATAGTTTTAAGAGGGAAATTTTCCACTAGGTCAGAAGCAAATACTTTTTAAACATCATGTTATGTGGGTGGAAAAGTCATACCTTTTTGTCCGTCCAACTCATCTGCAACTGAACTGCCGTACACTTCCATGCTGGCAGTAAACACCACCAATTTGTACCACTTTGAAACCTACGCACACAAAAGCATTTGTACTGTGGTCGAGCATTAGAGCATTTTAATTAAATTTCATACCACTCAGCAGTATACAATTAAGCGTATATTTCCTTAACAGCCTATTCAGCGAAAGTGATCCATCAATATTTTTCTGATCTTGGACCATTGTGCTCAACGCTCCGCCTCCCGTTCCAACTATACGGATTTGCACGGGCATTTTTTCAAGTAAATAGGTAACATAACAAACGCACGAATGACTAAGTGTTATGATTATTCTCTTCGTCACATTTAGATTTGATTTGGATTTAACTTCAATTCAATTCGAAGCCTAATTTTCGAACATTAAAAATACTAAGGCTGAAAAACGACAAGCCATTGCCATATTTTAAGCAAATGAATTACATCATATCATATGCAAAAGTAACAGATGATTTATATATAACTGAAACAACATATAAATGCATATTTTATGGAAAATACATAACTCTTCGAACGATCCGAAAGACAACACACACACAGCAAAAAAAAACGAGGTTCAGCAGGGACTTGAACCCCAGACCTTTCGATCCTTGATTGAGGATTTAAATATCTGGGGTTCAAGTTCCAGTTGCTGTATGTAAACAATTCTTTCAATTTTTCCACTTTTGGACTTGTCTCACGACTCAATTTTTGCCCTTTGCCACATAATTAAGCTGTAGTTGTTCGAACTCAACTGATGCTTTGGATTAAACAAGGATAGCTGGTTACTGTGCAAGTAAAATTGCATCAACTGGGTTAACTTATTGCTATTCGAATGTCAAAGCACATGCTATGAAAAAGCTGTAAAGGTGCCCCAAAAGTGGCAGCAATATTTGAGACTTAGGTTGTAAAAAGTAAGGTTCGTACTAATAAACTCGCTTCGCAAGTGTAAAAAAAGAACAAGACCTATATAAATGAGTTCAATGACACTTATAAACATAAAAGTAAAATTAAAAATACGCAATTAAGATTTGAAACAAGGATAGCCGGTTGCTGTGCAAGTAGCACAGAATGTTCCGACCATGTTCAACAACCTATATAATTCTTTTCAAATTGCGTCGTCTTTTATTTTTGGTGTATAATAGAAACTAAGCAAAAACGTAAAAACTCGATAATAAAATAATGGCAACAATTGACAACCGTTTTTTGCATAAAAAAAAAAACTCATGAAAGTTTTCGAAAAATTTTTGCAGACTTCTTTGGTTCGTTCTTTTTTTATTCCCAAGAAAGCGCTGAAAAAATTCTTGATAATTAAATTCATTTGAGTAAAACTTGTAATGTTAGGTTTTGAAAGTTTAAAACTTACTATTATAAGCCTGCTTGTTTATTCGCTTGAAATTAGACAAAAAATCAATAAACTCCAACCGGTTGTTCTCGACACTGACAATTTTTGTCAAGTTCGAATCATGACTGAAAGAGCTCTAATATGATACATCATTAGGCGCATTTCAATAAGTATTTGTTGTACCTGATTTTGCGTGGAAAACAAAGTAAAAAAACATGGCCAAATAACAGTTGGAAAAGAGTAATGAACGCAAGTAAACAGAAAAAAAAAACATTGTTGAAAAAATCGCAACTTTCAAATTTGAAAAAAAAAGATGCCCTTTAAGCTCTTTGAACTTCTAGAACAATTTATGATTGGCGCTTTTTTTGATAACATTTACCCAACTGGAGATAACTGGATCAATAGGTAAAACTTTTATTCAGCTGGAAAATTTGAAATTTAATTCCACTTTCGAAACGAAGTATCGTTCACGTTTTTTCACGCCATTTCCACGTTCGTATTTAGATGGTGCTTTTTACGTAACTTTCAGCGGAAGAATTTCAATAGAACTCAAAAAGTGCATATATACCTAAATTCTTTCATAAGTGCATTAATCTGTATGAATGCACATCTGTAGTTATCAGAGAATTTTAAGACTATTCCCTAAAAAAAATCACCAACACCTATATAAGAGTCTTCACTAATTTCATTACTCTTAAAAAAACTAAAACAAACAGTCCGAACAAAAACAATTGTTTTATTACACAGCCGTTTGCTTAAGTAGTTAACGAGATGCGAACGACGAATTATTCTATCTAAATAAAAAATCCAAATTCAATTGAAAGGAGAGGTAAAGGGTCTAAAAAAGATAACATCAAAAAACAGTACGAACAAAAACATAACGAACAGTAGGAACAGAAGTCTTCTTTTTTGATCCGACTTATTTTGAACAGTTTTCAGTGCCAATTTATGAAATAGGTTATCAGTAAAAAATTTTACTAAAAATTTGAAAACTGTCAATAAAACTTTGGACAACTCACAAAATTGAAGCAAGTGAAAGTGAAACCGACCTCAAGTCAACCATGAAAGAACAAAAACAAATATGTGATGCCAATTCCCTTGTACGCACATATGGAACCGCAAACGAGTCGCACTGCGCATCGAAATTTGGCTTAGAGATGACGCTGAAATCATTGCATACATTTGATGTAAATCTGCATATTAAATTCTTTTTTCGAAATAGAAGTCGATCACGTTTTTCGTGATCTTTACACTTTTGCTGTTCGATAGTGGATTTTGCCTTTCTTTTAACTAAAGAATTGATACGAACTTGAAAAGAAATCAAAAGACAAACCAAGAAAAATCAAATTTGAGCGTAAACAAATTTAAGACATTTTCCTGACGAAAAAACAAACAAAAAAGTAATCACGACCAACATAAAATTCTTCACTACGTTTAATTCAGTAATTGATATTTTCATGTACTTCCTTCAGTGGAATTGGCCCTTTTTCCTCCACTATTTTGATTTACAAGCTATTTTTATAAAAAGAAAATCAGATTTTTGCCATTTTTAGGCTCTTGAATTACATGACGCCGCATGGGAGAAATTTTGATTTCGCATGCCGCATCAATTAAATTATTTTGTCTTTTTTTATCTTCGGCCAATTTGAGTTTAATAGCTTTCTACTTATTAGAAATGTGTGCAGTATTTAAAAAAAAATGGGTCACCGATGAATGGTATTTTTCGGCACTGCTTTAATGCCTCGTACCCGAAAGTAACCGCAAAAACACTAATGCATTATATAACTGCTTTTTTCCTTTAAGAAAGTCATCATTATTTCATTTGATATTCGGGTCAATAACCGATTGATAATTTATCAACACCATGTCATGTTACAATGCGCTCAGCTAATTTATGCAAATCTGTGTCCTGGCAACACAATTCGGATGTGTTTCGGATGAACCATGCAAAAAGTTCTTATTTTTAATAAGACATGTATGCTGAAATGCAACTTTTAATGTTGATCTGTAACAATTTCTCGATTTAATTCGCTCGATTCAATTGTTTAAAAAAAACTTTTTAACTTGTTGAAATATTTGTGACCAAAACCATGAGCTCTAAAAGAATTGGTGATTGGCTTTAATGAAGGGGCTTAAAGGATAACAATCGCAAAAATTTTCTCCAATGCAAAAAAAAAACAAGCACCAATTCTTGAAAATTAGTTCTGTCACCGTTTTTCTGCGTTTTGAAAGAAATTGTAAAGATAATAATATCCTCTTTAAATAAAAAAAACACTTCTTTTTTAATCCGCTAAAGCCCTGTGACTTCTGAAGGACCGGCAATTGTAATCTTCGTCAAAGCCTTCTGCAAGATTTCAACTTACAACTGAGAGAAAATAATCGACGTGGGGTCTTTTGTGAACTGAGAATCTAACAGGCTGCTGGTCTATCATTACTCGAAGCACGAAGTCTGGGGGTTGAGTGTCCGCCCTCGCTGCTAGATTGGCGGACACTGCGCCTCCAGCTGAGCCTGCGTGTACCGGGGGAGCAGGCAATCCATCGTGATGAGAGTGGATCAGAGTTTCGTCCAGATCAAGCACCAGAAACTTCCGACTGACAACATCTAAACGGAATTTAAACTTACAATTAACACTTCAGTCAATCACAAATTATTCCATTTCAAGGCTCTTTTTCATTCCCCCTACCCCACCCACCTCACAAGAATATAAATTTTATGGCGCAACGAGGGGTTCTCCCTTCAAGGTCAAGCAAGAAGACCAATTATGCGGGGAGAAAAATGAGTCCATTTCAAATATCAGTGACCGTGATAGAGGCAGTCAATTTAGCACTGTTTACCCCGCAGTGCGTCCGTTCCAGCCAAAACGACACTTTTTGAAAGAAACCTTGGATTCACTGACGAATGAAACAGATAATTATTATAAGTAATGATAATTAATTTTCACTCGGCACGAAAAACTGATTATCCTCCTGATATCAAACTGATCATTGATAATCGATATGGGAATGGCAAAAGAGCTGTGACTTGTGAAAGAAAAGCATGAAAGATAAGTTAATCCTCTAGCAACATGAAAATTCGAGCGCTTTGCTGAATCGGAACTGAAGCTGAAAATCTAACTCCTTTAAATCTGGCCTGCAGCTGAAAACCCAATTCTGCCCACAGGCTCATAAAATAGCAGTATTTTATTTAACTTAAAACACGTTTCTATTTTGCAACTTCCCTATTTGATCAACTGGATTCTCAAAACAAATAGCCCCGAGTTCTGAATTAAGCAGAACATGCTTTCACTTCAATTTCCCTTTCTGAAAGCTCAATACATAAGTCCCGGGAGCATTTTGACTTAATAAACAGATAAGCCGAAACTAACGATCGAGCTATTGCTTTATTAAGGATTGAAATCTCTGTTTTCCAAATCGAATTCAATGAATTCATTTTTTAAATTGATAGTCTGCAAACTAAAGTTGCGAAAAAAATAACGTCGCATAAAATTGAGGTTTAAAAAAACATGAAAAACAAATTATGAAAGCTATCACAATACGTATGGTGTAAAAACACAGATTTATTTTTGAAATATTCTATCGTAGTTGACCACCATATTCTCGCAGCTCCTCATGGTAAAATCATTATGGTTAACTTCATGGTTCACTTTGCACTGCATGTTGGCTTATGGTGTACTCACTGAGTCTGTGACGGGATATTGTGGAGAGAGGGGCATTGACATAGCACACTGGTTGATACTGGATGGCCTAAACACCAACAAAGTCACAGATTGAACATAGCAATGGGGGTGGGGAATCCCGCTAGGGATACGACCCGATTGGCAGAACTAATATATCATCCAGTCAGAATTATGCATACAATAATCTGAACAAAAAATATGTTAGAAACCTGAAATATATGAGAACTTTTCTGCCATTAGCACCTTCATTCACGAGAATAGCCCGCACCCTATTACAGGGAATGGAGGTATAACAATAGGCCAAATACGATGTCTTCATAGCACGCTGGAAAAAACTGCAGTTTTTATCCAATTATGTTGCGTATTTCTGATGAAATTTCGGCTTCAAAATATGGCGAAGTGTTGTACATCCGCCATAGGGATACTCACAAACTACTCATGTAGCAATCATAGAATATATTGCCTACCGCTTGATTAAAGTTAACAAACGTATTGCAAAATGTCGAGAATCAAGAAAGATTTCTTAAGTATATCTCTGTAAAATTGACTGAAATTGACAGATCACCTCTGAATAAACTTCCCGATTATTAAGATAAATTTTAAAATATACGACATTTTTGCAAACGTCAATTGAGATGTCCAGATCCATGTTAGTTAATAACACCTGTTTCAAATTTAACCTTGACTAACTTTTTTGGAGGTTCTCTTGAGAAAATAGGAGACGAGATGCCAGAGGTAAGAGACGCATTTGAAGCATACTGACACAGGGCCCATAACACAGCACTCAATCTAACAACTAATCACTTCATTCAATACTACCACAACAATACAAAGTATCTGAAAATAAATCCTATTAAAAATAAATTAAATGTCAATATTTTCTGACTTCAAATCATATTGAATAAACAATTGAAGCTTTAATAGAAAAAGGTAAAACGAAGTTTCTAAAGTATTTGAAAGACAATGATAACCGATATTTTTCAAATTTGCCTTAAACACCATTGATTCATTATACACCAAACAAATTTAACAAACAGTAACGATCATTGAAACGCCAAAAATCTCACAGTTTCACTTTTTGTTACGCCTAGTCTTAAGATTCGGAAGAAACAAAAGCTTAGGCTCGTATCGTAAACCACAAAAAAATCACAAGCATAGCCAACAGACCCTATAAACGTCTTGTGTACCATATTTTTTAAAAATATTTAGGGCCAATTGCAATTGAGTTTCTCTCTACCCAAACCTAACAAAGATTTTAAATCGTCCGAATCTTAACCAATGAGTTCCGAACTCCATGAGTTTTTTACGAACAGACACCTAGTGTTCTCTTCCTCGAAATGATCAGTGAGCTGTTCAGCTCCCACAACAAAAGTTCAACTCCAAACCAATTGATTTAATGAATTTTTCGGTTCTCCTGGTCCAAAAAAAAGACAAAAATACTTGGTGTTTTTTGACCCGTCCCCCTGAGAACTTTGCGGAGCATTGTAAGCAAACCGCAATCTGAATGCTCTGTCCGGTACGAAATGGAGACGATCCAAATAAAGATTGCTTGTAACGTTCAAATCTCAGATCAGACCAATACTCCATGACTCCTGCCCAGTTTCGTCCAACGCTGCAAGAAATTCCCCCCTGAACAAATTACATGTCATTCAAAACGCAGCTCTCCGTGTTGTGACAGGGTGCACGAAGATGAGCTCCATAGACCACCTACACACTGAAGGCAAACTACTATCCGTGCAACAGCACCATAAACTTCTATCCACCCAGTTTTTACTGTAATCGTACATTCACTTCCACACCCATCATTTCTATCATAAGTTCCCCTTCCCTCCCAGACAAATCAAACCTAACTTTACTTGAACTTAAAAAGAAGAATTCGACAAAAGAATCTCTAGACAAGCGATTTTACCCCATATAACGATAACATGGACCGAAACAACTTCGCTTTTAATAATTTTAAACATCTTAAAAAGGATTCACACAAGCCAGGTAACAAATGCAATAAATGACCCGCCCACTCTCTAAGCTCTCCCACTGCGCCCACCTGATATTTCCTCGACTGAGGAACTGCTCCTACGTTCATCAAGGAGCACGTCAGCACAGCTCAGATCCGACTACTCCCCTTTTATAAATACCTATCTTAATAGAATAGACCCCAATGTCCCCCGAACTGTCCGGCTCCCCATACTACTCTCCACCTCTTTAACTACCCCACAAACCCGACTGAACTGACCCAATAGATATGTGGCTATGGCCGGACGAAGTAGCAATGTTCCTTAGAATCGGGGCAAGTTCGCATGACGCGGCCCCAGTAGGCAACTAACAAAGGACAGTTGGAAAAGAGTGAATGAACGCAAAAAATGAAAAACACTGAGTTTTGAACTTTCGAATTTAACGGGAAAAAATATGCTCTTCAGGCTCTTTGAATTTCAAGAACAAATCATGATTGGCACTATATTGATAAAACTAATCAAATCTAAGAAAATGATCAATATATAAATTTTTATTCGGCTGGAAAATCTAAAACCTTGAAGCCATTATGAAACTAAAAGTCAAAGACGTTTTTCAACTTTCACTTTTTGCTGTTCGATTATGGAGTTTCCCTTGCTTTTTACAGAAAAAAAACTGAAGTAAAATAAACTTAACTCAAAAAATCAAATTTGAGCGTGAACAAACCTTAAGACTTTTCCCTAAAAAAAATCATTACGACCTATTTAAGAGTCTTCACTCCGTTCATTAACTCTTAGAAACCGTGAACCACAAAGAACACTTGAAAGTCATTGCATACTTTAATCCCCTCGCACTACTGGATTATTTGGAAGAAAATATGGCCTCGGCTAAGTTTTCACGCCAAATCAATATCCAAAAATACCACTCATAGGGCATTGAGTCAGACATAACTTTGAAGTTCTTTCAATGGAAACACGAATTCCAAAAATGAAACGAAGTATCAGTAAGTATCCAAAAAAGGGTCTATTATTTTCCAAAAAACAGGTGAAAACTAATGATCCCTATTTAAGTTAATACGCAAAAATAAGGAAATTTCTTTCTTCATAGTTTATTTTTCTCCTATTTTTGATGGCTTTACTTAGATTACAGTGTTCGAAAATTCAAAACTATGAAAATGTTTCTCTTTTTTACGTTATTTTTCATTGCTGTACTTAAAAGTAACTGTGTTTCGAAAATAACTACGAATTGGCTATTCCTGTTCGACATATAGATCTTAGGAAAAACCATAAAAGAATACATTTGCAGTAGATTTAAATAAAGTTTTGAGATATTTCACGCCTTTCAAAAAAAATTGACAGCATATCTCAAATTTCTACATTTCCAATTTATTTCTTATACAGTGATTCGTACTTAAGACTTCCTTTTGCGTTTTCAAGCCTTATTTAAACTAATTTTGAATTTTGAACAACTTGAGTACTCGGAAAAAATTAATCAAATGAAAATTAAGCAAAGCCAACAGACAGTTGGAACAGAGTCAATGAAAGCAAGTAAACAAGAAAACTTTATCAAGAAAAACTCAAAAAATGAACTTAAAAATCATTGAATTTCTAAAACAATTTATACTTAAAATCTTTTGGAAAAAAAATTCACTCAATTTGAGAAAACTGGATCAATGGATAAATTTTTTTGAAAATCTGAAAAATAAATTCGATTTCGAAACAAGAATTTGGTCAAGCTTTTTCTGAAATTTATACTTTTGCTGTTCGATGGTGGAGTTTGCCTTGCTTTTAAAAAAAATGAAATGAAGTAACTTAAAAAAAACCAAGAGTCAAACCGCGAAAAAGTAAATTTGAGCCTGAACAAACTAAGATTTTTTCTTTAAAAAAAACTTTAAAAAATCATCACGACCTATAGAAAAGTCTGAACTAGGTTCATCGAATCTTAAGAATTTATCGTCCTATTAAACGTTTGTCACATATAACAAACCCTGCGATCGCCAATAAACCAGATGTCTTTATTTATTAGTTCTTCATGAGTTATTCTTTATTTTCCAAACATCAACGCAGATACCACATAAAAACAAGACACCACTTGCGATACCATATAAAAACATTATTGCAAGCTAGCCCACAGTAAAGAAAAATATTACCACTAAACCCAAAAAAAAAACAAATCGTAAAAGCCACAACTAAAGCTTCAACATTTTGTCTGAAATGATGTACTATTGGTTGAAAACTCATCCAGAATCACAATTGAAGGAATTTAAGGAAAATCCAAAATCATTTATTGAGCGGCAACTGAGCAGACAAAACTTGGGTAAATTCCCGCAGATCCGTAAGCAATGTTGTCATGGAAAAACTTGGGCTTATTTTCTATTCCAAGCTTTTTAACATTTTGAGCGATCTAGAGGGGAGCATAAAATTGTTTCCCTCGAAACTACTCAAAATTGAGTCAATAAACCGACAAAATATTAGCCGAAATCATTTGAGCAAAATAAAATTTTAAGCAAAAAAAAACAATAAAAAGAAAATATACGAAGGTTAGTAGAATTCCAATGAGCAGAAGTAAACAAAAACACTTATAAGCAACTACAATGTTAATTCCAATAAACAGAAAAACAATAATTCTACGATGTGGCAACTAAGCCAAAAAAACAAGCCTTGGTCAGATTCGAAGCCAGGGCCTTTGCCGTCCCAAGCGTATTCGTTACCTCCAGGCTGTGTGCGGGAGATGCAAATAAATTTGAATTGATTGTAAACTGAACCTAAACTTACCATTTCTAATGTTGACCATTCTGTGAACAAAATTTTTTATGGGAAAAAGCCTAATACCCGATTGCAATACCCTTGCTTATCGCAAGGGTAAAAAAATTGTCTAAAAACAAATCTGCAGACTAAATTCCGGGCAAGGTAACTACTTTTTAAGTTTGGAGTAAAGCGAGCATATGAAGTTTTTGAAAAGCTAAAATTACGTTTTTTGCTAATTGTGAAACAATGCATCTGACACAGAAAAAAAATAAAAAGGAAAATAAGCCTAGGATGAAACGTAACTAGTACCATATGAAAAGAACAACATACCCACAAAAGTGTTAAAAACCGTTTCGCTGATGCGTAATGATTAGCGTTCAAACTGTCATGCTGAAAGTGGTCGGAGAAAGCTAGGGATTAGTCTGATTTTGTTTTTCCATCCGATTTTGACTTCAAAAAATAAAAAATTAATCTTTTTATTATGCCCATTTTGATTTTCAGGTTTTTCACTTAAATCAATTGCCCCTTGCTCAAAACAAAACAAATTTGGCGAAAAATATTTCAAAGCTTCCATTTTTTCGATTTTTTAAAACTATTTTACAGATGATTGAATCTTTTCATTTCAATCGCTGGAATCGGAACAATCTGTTACTTGCACCAAAATCCGTGATCCTTGTTTGTTTAAAAAATGAGTATCATTCTGTTGAAGAAGTAATCGCATGTGTTCCATTCTAACCCTAAGCAGAAAATCACCAAAGCAGGTCAATTCATACTAGTTATGCTTGTGTTTTCAAAAACAACTTATTCAAAATTTATTTTTAACCAAAAAGAAGTCTTGTGACCAGCAATTTTCGAAAGTATATAAAAAAACGCTGTTATTAAAGAATGCTCTGTAAAACTTCACCTATGATATTACACATACGATGAAAATCCGGCGATGTTAAGCAAGCTTATTACTAACTTAATCAGCACACTCTACAACAAACTTTGAACAGTTTACCTTCAAAAACTTGCGCATATGTACAGCCAAGCAGATAGAGTTTATTTTTTACCAAATAGATCTTGTCTTAAATAGATATTGATTTTGAATATTCTTGCAATTTTTTCATTTGCTTTAAGAAAAACAGTTTTGAGTGAAAAGTACAGAAAATTTGCACCTAATTAATACACCTTCGACGAATTAAACCATCAAATTAAAAAAGAAATAGTTAATTTATTAATAGTTAATAAATTTATACATCGTATCGGCACGCAATGGGTTCGAAGGAGCAGCATTTTACGACGCAGCTGCTGCAGCACCTGATGTTGAACAGCCACATGCGAGTATTCCACAATGGGATGGAGTTGGGCATGGCTGACGTCGAGGCATTCTCGCCCGTCGTGTACAACATTCTGAGGTGATTAACAAGATAGAAAATAATTATTTTTTACATTATTCCCCAGACCGAACACTCGACCTCTATAAATCATCCCAATTTGAGCGGTCAAAAGTAAAAATTACAATCACAATAAATAAGCATTTAAAGTTTTTGGGAATAGCTTGAAAAAAAATCAAGTAAATGATGTATGAATCACTCCACTCCGTTCATTAACATGAAAGTTGAACTCAGAAATTCAAAATCTCAAATATAATGACAAATACCAGTTATCATTATATTGGCTTCAACTTTACTGTTTAGATACAAAATCATTAACGACACTATGCGCAAGAAGACCTACGTCAGGAAAGATGACGGGGAACTCATGGAAATAATTCGGGACAGATTCTCAACCAAGACCTACCTGAGGACTAAATCCGGACGTGTAATCGAGCTCGACGGTTCTGAAGACGGTGATGGGGGCATGGACGTTTACTATGACCCCTTGACTGGCAAGACGTGGGTGAGGGGTCAAGACGGTGAGATGTTGGAGCTGATTAAAGATGAGAAGACAGGGAAGATGTATTTGAGGACTAAGAGTGGTCGGTTGCAGGAGGTCGGAGCCCACCTCGAGTTCTACAAAGATCCCATCACAGGTCATTGCTCGAGAAAAATGATCTGGATTTTTTAACTTTCATACAAACTTGGTGACACTGAACTTGCTGGCACTCCATTTGAGCCCAATTTACTTTAAATTTATTTTTTATACTTTATTTAAGATATAATTACATTTCGTTTTGCATTCTAATCCTGCAAACACTTCCAGTTCTACGCAATTGCTGCATCCTGTTCTGAGAAAAAAAAATGGTTGAATGACTACCTTGATATGAGCATTTTCTGCAGCAATAATGAGCTCTTTACGCTGTACCTTTAGGGAAGACTATTCTGCGCGAACGAAAGAATCCAGGCATGCAGGTATTCACAGACCCTGTGACTGGGAAAAAGTACGTCAAAACTGCAGACGGTCAGATCTTAGAGATCTGGACTGACCCGGAGACAGGTAAAACTTACATGCGGACAAAGAGTGGTCGAATCGTCTCCGAGATTGACGAGAACATGATATTCTATACGGATCCCAGGACAGGAGTGACCTACTTGGCAGCCAAACCAGGAGCTGCGCAGTCTTCGGTGTTCACAGATCCCAAAACAGGTCAGAAATCGTTATGCATGATCAAATACATTCAAGTTTGTGCCATCAAAAGAGTCTGCAAAAACATTTTAAAAAACACAACCTAAGTGCTAAAAGTTTTCCTCGAACTCTAATGCCTGTCGAAGATGTAATCGCTGGTTATCGCGTATGTCTTTTGTCTCAAATATCTGGTTAAAAACGAACTGCATTTAGGCAAGACATATATTCGAACCAAATCCGGTCGCATTGTCGAAGCACCGGTGGAGGAGGGAGGCGAGTTCTTTATGGATCCGACCACAGGCAAGATGTTCCTGCGTACCAAGTCAGGCAACCTCAGAGAGATCCCATCTGACGGCGTTGAGGTCATCAAAGACCCTAGCACTGGCAAAGTGTACATGAAGACTAAATCTGGAAGACTGATTGAGATCCAGGGGGATGTTGACATGTATGTTGATCCTATCACAGGTGAGTAGCAGCAAAAGGAAACAATTTTGCACGATTACAGCATGCACGTAGACTAAAAAGAGACAAAGAGCATTAAAAACTATTCTATCGAAATTTGGTCACTCTGACGTAGCAGCCAAACTACATACAAGTTAACTGCCAATCTCAGTCAGCAGCAGATAGCAGAGAAAAACCTACAATCCAGTATTGGTTAAATCTTTTCAGTTTGTCACGGTCACTTACTATGAAACAACGAACTTCTTAAATCAGCGAGAACGTAATTGAGCATGCATTAGTTATTTTAGAGATAATTTATTGAATTTTAGGGAAGACTTATTTGATGCACAAAGGGTCCAACATCATCACTGATCCCAACACCGGCAAGAAAATGGTTCGCACGGCTTCAGGTAACTATCAACCCAAAACAGTACCTAAAGTGTCTAGCCAGTGAAAACAATACATTTGAGTTTTTAGGGCGCCTGGTTGAGGTCAAAGGTAGCTTCGAGGTTTACGTGGACCCTGACACCGGCAAGACTCTTCTGATGCAGACAACTGACGATGGTAAAACCATCTTGACAGATCCCAGCTCGGGGAAAGTGTTCATCAAGACTGCCTCGGGAAGACTTCAAGAATTGGTGGACGAAGGAGGCATTCTTTACGATGCTAGCACAGGTATAATAATAATAATAACTTATGCCAAGAGAAAGCTGAGCATGTGTTAAATACATGAACCGGCAAGACAATGAACTGTTTATCAAAAAAATCTTATTAATTTTTTTCTGCTTTGCCCAGGAAAGAGTTACTTGCGTACAGAGAGTGGTAAGCTGATCGAAATCACCAATGACAGTGAAATGTTCGTCGATCCAGAGACTGGCAAACTCATGATGCGCACCAAGAGCGGAAGAGTGCACGAAGTATCTTCCGATGTCAATGTTTTCACAGATCCAAACACCGGAAGGACCTATGTACGGACCAAGTCTGGTCGCTACTTGGAACTTGACCCAGACGCTGAGATTGAAATTGATCCGTTAACTGGAAAAATGTTCATTCGCACCAAGTCAGGAAATAGACGCGAGTTGGCCGGTGAGATGGAGGTACATAAAACATGTTCAACGTTGTGTTAAAGGCTTTTATATTCAACTTTCACTTTTTGCTGTTCGATTATGGAGTTTCCCTTGCTTTTTACAGAAAAAAAACTGAAGTAAAATAAACTTAACTCAAAAAATCAAATTTGAGCGTGAACAAACCTTAAGACTTTTCCCTAAAAAAAATCATTACGACCTATTTAAGAGTCTTCACTCCGTTCATTAACTCTTAGAAACCGTGAACCACAAAGAACACTTGAAAGTCATTGCATACTTTAATCCCCTCGCACTACTGGATTATTTGGAAGAAAATATGGCCTCGGCTAAGTTTTCACGCCAAATCAATATCCAAAAATACCACTCATAGGGCATTGAGTCAGACATAACTTTGAAGTTCTTTCAATGGAAACACGAATTCCAAAAATGAAACGAAGTATCAGTAAGTATCCAAAAAAGGGTCTATTATTTTCCAAAAAACAGGTGAAAACTAATGATCCCTATTTAAGTTAATACGCAAAAATAAGGAAATTTCTTTCTTCATAGTTTATTTTTCTCCTATTTTTGATGGCTTTACTTAGATTACAGTGTTCGAAAATTCAAAACTATGAAAATGTTTCTCTTTTTTACGTTATTTTTCATTGCTGTACTTAAAAGTAACTGTGTTTCGAAAATAACTACGAATTGGCTATTCCTGTTCGACATATAGATCTTAGGAAAAACCATAAAAGAATACATTTGCAGTAGATTTAAATAAAGTTTTGAGATATTTCACGCCTTTCAAAAAAAATTGACAGCATATCTCAAATTTCTACATTTCCAATTTATTTCTTATACAGTGATTCGTACTTAAGACTTCCTTTTGCGTTTTCAAGCCTTATTTAAACTAATTTTGAATTTTGAACAACTTGAGTACTCGGAAAAAATTAATCAAATGAAAATTAAGCAAAGCCAACAGACAGTTGGAACAGAGTCAATGAAAGCAAGTAAACAAGAAAACTTTATCAAGAAAAACTCAAAAAATGAACTTAAAAATCATTGAATTTCTAAAACAATTTATACTTAAAATCTTTTGGAAAAAAATTCACTCAATTTGAGAAAACTGGATCAATGGATAAATTTTTTTATTTCCCTGGAAAATCTGAAAAATAAATTCGATTTCGAAACAAGAATTTGGTCAAGCTTTTTCTGAAATTTATACTTTTGCTGTTCGATGGTGGAGTTTGCCTTGCTTTAAAAAAAAATGAAATGAAGTAACTTAAAAAAAACCAAGAGTCAAACCGCGAAAAAGTAAATTTGAGCCTGAACAAACTAAGATTTTTTCTTTAAAAAAAACTTTAAAAAATCATCACGACCTATAGAAAAGTCTGAACTAGGTTCATCGAATCTTAAGAATTTATCGTCCTATTAAACTTTTGTCACATATAACAAACCCTGCGATCGCCAATAAACCAGATGTCTTTATTTATTAGTTCTTCATGAGTTATTCTTTATTTTCCAAACATCAACGCAGATACCACATAAAAACAAGACACCACTTGCGATACCATATAAAAACATTATTGCAAGCTAGCCCACAGTAAAGAAAAATATTACCACTAAACCCAAAAAAAAACAAATCGAAAAAGCCACAACTAAAGCTTCAACATTTTGTCTGAAATGATGTACTATTGGTTGAAAACTCATCCAGAATCACAATTGAAGGAATTTAAGGAAAATCCAAAATCATTTATTGAGCGGCAACTGAGCAGACAAAACTTGGGTAAATTCCCGCAGATCCGTAAGCAATGTTGTCATGAAAAAACTTGGGCTTATTTTCTATTCCAAGCTTTTTAACATTTTGAGCGATCTAGAGGGGAGCATAAAATTGTTTCCCTCGAAACTACTCAAAATTGAGTCAATAAACCGACAAAATATTAGCCGAAATCATTTGAGCAAAATAAAATTTTAAGCAAAAAAAACAATAAAAGAAAATATACGAAGGTTAGTAGAATTCCAATGAGCAGAAGTAAACAAAAACACTTATAAGCAACTACAATGTTAATTCCAATAAACAGAAAAACAATAATTCTACAATGTGGCAACTAAGCCAAAAAAACAAGTCTTGGTCAGATTCGAAGCCAGGGCCTTTGCCGTCCCAAGCGTATTCGTTACCTCCAGGCTGTGTGCGGGAGATGCAAATAAATTTGAATTGATTGTAAACTGAACCTAAACTTACCATTTCTAATGTTGACCATTCTGTGAACAAAATTTTTTATGGGAAAAAGCCTAATACCCGATTGCAATACCCTTGCTTATCGCAAGGGTAAAAAAATTGTCTAAAAACAAATCTGCAGACTAAATTCCGGGCAAGGTAACTACTTTTTAAGTTTGGAGTAAAGCGAGCATATGAAGTTTTTGAAAAGCTAAAATTACGTTTTTTGCTAATTGTGAAACAATGCATCTGACACAGAAAAAAAATAAAAAGGAAAATAAGCCTAGGATGAAACGTAACTAGTACCATATGAAAAGAACAACATACCCACGAAAGTGTTAAAAACCGTTTCGCTGATGCGTAATGATTAGCGTTCAAACTGTCATGCTGAAAGTGGTCGGAGAAAGCTAGGGATTAGTCTGATTTTGTTTTTCCATCCGATTTTGACTTCAAAAAATAAAAAATTAATCTTTTTATTATGCCCATTTTGATTTTCAGGTTTTTCACTTAAATCAATTGCCCCTTGCTCAAAACAAAACAAATTTGGCGAAAAATATTTCAAAGCTTCCATTTTTTTCGATTTTTTAAAACTATTTTACAGATGATTGAATCTTTTCATTTCAATCGCTGGAATCGGAACAATCTGTTACTTGCACCAAAATCCGTGATCCTTGTTTGTTTAAAAAATGAGTATCATTCTGTTGAAGAAGTAATCGCATGTGTTCCATTCTAACCCTAAGCAGAAAATCACCAAAGCAGGTCAATTCATACTAGTTATGCTTGTGTTTTCAAAAACAACTTATTCAAAATTTATTTTTAACCAAAAAGAAGTCTTGTGACCAGCAATTTTCGAAAGTATATAAAAAAACGCTGTTATTAAAGAATGCTCTGTAAAACTTCACCTATGATATTACACATACGATGAAAATCCGGCGATGTTAAGCAAGCTTATTACTAACTTAATCAGCACACTCTACAACAAACTTTGAACAGTTTACCTTCAAAAACTTGCGCATATGTACAGCCAAGCAGATAGAGTTTATTTTTTACCAAATAGATCTTGTCTTAAATAGATATTGATTTTGAATATTCTTGCAATTTTTTCATTTGCTTTAAGAAAAACAGTTTTGAGTGAAAAGTACAGAAAATTTGCACCTAATTAATACACCTTCGACGAATTAAACCATCAAATTAAAAAAGAAATAGTTAATTTATTAATAGTTAATAAATTTATACATCGTATCGGCACGCAATGGGTTCGAAGGAGCAGCATTTTACGACGCAGCTGCTGCAGCACCTGATGTTGAACAGCCACATGCGAGTATTCCACAATGGGATGGAGTTGGGCATGGCTGACGTCGAGGCATTCTCGCCCGTCGTGTACAACATTCTGAGGTGATTAACAAGATAGAAAATAATTTTTTTTACATTATTCCCCAGACCGAACACTCGACCTCTATAAATCATCCCAATTTGAGCGGTCAAAAGTAAAAATTACAATCACAATAAATAAGCATTTAAAGTTTTTGGGAATAGCTTGAAAAAAAATCAAGTAAATGATGTATGAATCACTCCACTCCGTTCATTAACATGAAAGTTGAACTCAGAAATTCAAAATCTCCAATATAATGACAAATACCAGTTATCATTATATTGGCTTCAACTTTACTGTTTAGATACAAAATCATTAACGACACTGTGCGCAAGAAGACCTACGTCAGGAAAGATGACGGGGAACTCATGGAAATAATTCGGGACAGATTCTCAACCAAGACCTACCTGAGGACTAAATCCGGACGTGTAATCGAGCTCGACGGTTCTGAAGACGGTGATGGGGGCATGGACGTTTACTATGACCCCTTGACTGGCAAGACGTGGGTGAGGGGTCAAGACGGTGAGATGTTGGAGCTGATTAAAGATGAGAAGACAGGGAAGATGTATTTGAGGACTAAGAGTGGTCGGTTGCAGGAGGTCGGAGCCCACCTCGAGTTCTACAAAGATCCCATCACAGGTCATTGCTCGAGAAAATTGATCTGGATTTTTTAACTTTCATACAAACTTGGTGACACTGAACTTGCTGGCACTCCATTTGAGCCCAATTTACTTTAAATTTATTTTTTATACTTTATTTAAGATATAATTACATTTCGTTTTGCATTCTAATCCTGCAAACACTTCCAGTTCTACGCAATTGCTGCATCCTGTTCTGAGAAAAAAAATGGTTGAATGACTACCTTGATATGAGCATTTTCTGCAGCAATAATGAGCTCTTTACGCTGTACCTTTAGGGAAGACTATTCTGCGCGAACGAAAGAATCCAGGCATGCATGTATTCACAGACCCTGTGACTGGGAAAAAGTACGTCAAAACTGCAGACGGTCAGATCTTAGAGATCTGGACTGACCCGGAGACAGGTAAAACTTACATGCGGACAAAGAGTGGTCGAATCGTCTCCGAGATTGACGAGAACATGATATTCTATACGGATCCCAGGACAGGAGTGACCTACTTGGCAGCCAAACCAGGAGCTGCGCAGTCTTCGGTGTTCACAGATCCCAAAACAGGTCAGAAATCGTTATGCATGATCAAATACATTCAAGTTTGTGCCATCAAAAGAGTCTGCAAAAACATTTTAAAAAACACAACCTAAGTGCTAAAAGTTTTCCTCGAACTCTAATGCCTGTCGAAGATGTAATCGCTGGTTATCGCGTATGTCTTTTGTCTCAAATATCTGGTTAAAAACGAACTGCATTTAGGCAAGACATATATTCGAACCAAATCCGGTCGCATTGTCGAAGCACCGGTGGAGGAGGGAGGCGAGTTCTTTATGGATCCGACCACAGGCAAGATGTTCCTGCGTACCAAGTCAGGCAACCTCAGAGAGATCCCATCTGACGGCGTTGAGGTCATCAAAGACCCTAGCACTGGCAAAGTGTACATGAAGACTAAATCTGGAAGACTGATTGAGATCCAGGGGGATGTTGACATGTATGTTGATCCTATCACAGGTGAGTAGCAGCAAAAGGAAACAATTTTGCACGATTACAGCATGCACGTAGACTAAAAAGAGACAAAGAGCATTAAAAACTATTCTATCGAAATTTGGTCACTCTGACGTAGCAGCCAAACTACATACAAGTTAACTGCCAATCTCAGTCAGCAGCAGATAGCAGAGACAAAACCTACAATCCAGTATTGGTTAAATCTTTTCAGTTTGTCACGGTCACTTACTATGAAACAACGAACTTCTTAAATCAGCGAGAACGTAATTGAGCATGCATTAGTTATTTTAGAGATAATTTATTGAATTTTAGGGAAGACTTATTTGATGCACAAAGGGTCCAACATCATCACTGATCCCAACACCGGCAAGAAAATGGTTCGCACGGCTTCAGGTAACTATCAACCCAAAACAGTACCTAAAGTGTCTAGCCAGTGAAAACAATACATTTGAGTTTTTAGGGCGCCTGGTTGAGGTCAAAGGTAGCTTCGAGGTTTACGTGGACCCTGACACCGGCAAGACTCTTCTGATGCAGACAACTGACGATGGTAAAACCATCTTGACAGATCCCAGCTCGGGGAAAGTGTTCATCAAGACTGCCTCGGGAAGACTTCAAGAATTGGTGGACGAAGGAGGCATTCTTTACGATGCTAGCACAGGTATAATAATAATAATAACTTATGCCAAGAGAAAGCTGAGCATGTGTTAAATACATGAACCGGCAAGACAATGAACTGTTTATCAAAAAAATCTTATTAATTTTTTTCTGCTTTGCCCAGGAAAGAGTTACTTGCGTACAGAGAGTGGTAAGCTGATCGAAATCACCAATGACAGTGAAATGTTCGTCGATCCAGAGACTGGCAAACTCATGATGCGCACCAAGAGCGGAAGAGTGCACGAAGTATCTTCCGATGTCAATGTTTTCACAGATCCAAACACCGGAAGGACCTATGTACGGACCAAGTCTGGTCGCTACTTGGAACTTGACCCAGACGCTGAGATTGAAATTGATCCGTTAACTGGAAAAATGTTCATTCGCACCAAGTCAGGAAATAGACGCGAGTTGGCCGGTGAGATGGAGGTACATAAAACATGTTCAACGTTGTGTTAAAGGCTTTTATATTCAACTTTCACTTTTTGCTGTTCGATTATGGAGTTTCCCTTGCTTTTTACAGAAAAAAAACTGAAGTAAAATAAACTTAACTCAAAAAATCAAATTTGAGCGTGAACAAACCTTAAGACTTTTCCCTAAAAAAAATCATTACGACCTATTTAAGAGTCTTCACTCCGTTCATTAACTCTTAGAAACCGTGAACCACAAAGAACACTTGAAAGTCATTGCATACTTTAATCCCCTCGCACTACTGGATTATTTGGAAGAAAATATGGCCTCGGCTAAGTTTTCACGCCAAATCAATATCCAAAAATACCACTCATAGGGCATCATTGAGTCAGACATAACTTTGAAGTTCTTTCAATGGAAACACGAATTCCAAAAATGAAACGAAGTATCAGTAAGTATCCAAAAAAGGGTCTATTATTTTCCAAAAAACAGGTGAAAACTAATGATCCCTATTTAAGTTAATACGCAAAAATAAGGAAATTTCTTTCTTCATAGTTTATTTTTCTCCTATTTTTGATGGCTTTACTTAGATTACAGTGTTCGAAAATTCAAAACTATGAAAATGTTTCTCTTTTTTACGTTATTTTTCATTGCTGTACTTAAAAGTAACTGTGTTTCGAAAATAACTACGAATTGGCTATTCCTGTTCGACATATAGATCTTAGGAAAAACCATAAAAGAATACATTTGCAGTAGATTTAAATAAAGTTTTGAGATATTTCACGCCTTTCAAAAAAAATTGACAGCATATCTCAAATTTCTACATTTCCAATTTATTTCTTATACAGTGATTCGTACTTAAGATTTCCTTTTGCGTTTTCAAGCCTTATTTAAACTAATTTTGAATTTTGAACAACTTGAGTACTCGGAAAAAATTAATCAAATGAAAATTAAGCAAAGCCAACAGACAGTTGGAACAGAGTCAATGAAAGCAAGTAAACAAGAAAACTTTATCAAGAAAAACTCAAAAAATGAACTTAAAAATCATTGAATTTCTAAAAACAATTTATACTTAAAATCTTTTGGAAAAAAATTCACTCAATTTGAGAAAACTGGATCAATGGATAAATTTTTTTATTTCCCTGGAAAATCTGAAAAATAAATTCGATTTCGAAACAAGAATTTGGTCAAGCTTTTTCTGAAATTTATACTTTTGCTGTTCGATGGTGGAGTTTGCCTTGCTTTTAAAAAAAATGAAATGAAGTAACTTGAAAAAAACCAAGAGTCAAACCGCGAAAAAGTAAATTTGAGCCTGAACAAACTAAGATTTTTTCTTTAAAAAAAACTTTAAAAAATCATCACGACCTATAGAAAAGTCTGAACTAGGTTCATCGAATCTTAAGAATTTATCGTCCTATTAAACTTTTGTCACATATAACAAACCCTGCGATCGCCAATAAACCAGATGTCTTTATTTATTAGTTCTTCATGAGTTATTCTTTATTTTCCAAACATCAACGCAGATACCACATAAAAACAAGACACCACTTGCGATACCATATAAAAACATTATTGCAAGCTAGCCCACAGTAAAGAAAAATATTACCACTAAACCCAAAAAAAAAACAAATCGAAAAAGCCACAACTAAAGCTTCAACATTTTGTCTGAAATGATGTACTATTGGTTGAAAACTCATCCAGAATCACAATTGAAGGAATTTAAGGAAAATCCAAAATCATTTATTGAGCGGCAACTGAGCAGACAAAACTTGGGTAAATTCCCGCAGATCCGTAAGCAATGTTGTCATGAAAAAACTTGGGCTTATTTTCTATTCCAAGCTTTTTAACATTTTGAGCGATCTAGAGGGGAGCATAAAATTGTTTCCCTCGAAACTACTCAAAATTGAGTCAATAAACCGACAAAATATTAGCCGAAATCATTTGAGCAAAATAAAATTTTAAGCAAAAAAAAACAATAAAAGAAAATATACGAAGGTTAGTAGAATTCCAATGAGCAGAAGTAAACAAAAACACTTATAAGCAACTACAATGTTAATTCCAATAAACAGAAAAACAATAATTCTACAATGTGGCAACTAAGCCAAAAAAACAAGTCTTGGTCAGATTCGAAGCCAGGGCCTTTGCCGTCCCAAGCGTATTCGTTACCTCCAGGCTGTGTGCGGGAGATGCAAATAAATTTGAATTGATTGTAAACTGAACCTAAACTTACCATTTCTAATGTTGACCATTCTGTGAACAAAATTTTTTATGGGAAAAAGCCTAATACCCGATTGCAATACCCTTGCTTATCGCAAGGGTAAAAAAATTGTCTAAAAACAAATCTGCAGACTAAATTCCGGGCAAGGTAACTACTTTTTAAGTTTGGAGTAAAGCGAGCATATGAAGTTTTTGAAAAGCTAAAATTACGTTTTTTGCTAATTGTGAAACAATGCATCTGACACAGAAAAAAAAAAAAAGGAAAATAAGCCTAGGATGAAACGTAACTAGTACCATATGAAAAGAACAACATACCCACGAAAGTGTTAAAAACCGTTTCGCTGATGCGTAATGATTAGCGTTCAAACTGTCATGCTGAAAGTGGTCGGAGAAAGCTAGGGATTAGTCTGATTTTGTTTTTCCATCCGATTTTGACTTCAAAAAATAAATAATTAATCTTTTTATTATGCCCATTTTGATTTTCAGGTTTTTCACTTAAATCAATTGCCCCTTGCTCAAAACAAAACAAATTTGGCGAAAAATATTTCAAAGCTTCCATTTTTTTCGATTTTTTAAAACTATTTTACAGATGATTGAATCTTTTCATTTCAATCGCTGGAATCGGAACAATCTGTTACTTGCACCAAAATCCGTGATCCTTGTTTGTTTAAAAAATGAGTATCATTCTGTTGAAGAAGTAATCGCATGTGTTCCATTCTAACCCTAAGCAGAAAATCACCAAAGCAGGTCAATTCATACTAGTTATGCTTGTGTTTTCAAAAACAACTTATTCAAAATTTATTTTTAACCAAAAAGAAGTCTTGTGACCAGCAATTTTCGAAAGTATATAAAAAAACGCTGTTATTAAAGAATGCTCTGTAAAACTTCACCTATGATATTACACATACGATGAAAATCCGGCGATGTTAAGCAAGCTTATTACTAACTTAATCAGCACACTCTACAACAAACTTTGAACAGTTTACCTTCAAAAACTTGCGCATATGTACAGCCAAGCAGATAGAGTTTATTTTTTACCAAATAGATCTTGTCTTAAATAGATATTGATTTTGAATATTCTTGCAATTTTTTCATTTGCTTTAAGAAAAACAGTTTTGAGTGAAAAGTACAGAAAATTTGCACCTAATTAATACACCTTCGACGAATTAAACCATCAAATTAAAAAAGAAATAGTTAATTTATTAATAGTTAATAAATTTATACATCGTATCGGCACGCAATGGGTTCGAAGGAGCAGCATTTTACGACGCAGCTGCTGCAGCACCTGATGTTGAACAGCCACATGCGAGTATTCCACAATGGGATGGAGTTGGGCATGGCTGACGTCGAGGCATTCTCGCCCGTCGTGTACAACATTCTGAGGTGATTAACAAGATAGAAAATAATTTTTTTTACATTATTCCCCAGACCGAACACTCGACCTCTATAAATCATCCCAATTTGAGCGGTCAAAAGTAAAAATTACAATCACAATAAATAAGCATTTAAAGTTTTTGGGAATAGCTTGAAAAAAAATCAAGTAAATGATGTATGAATCACTCCACTCCGTTCATTAACATGAAAGTTGAACTCAGAAATTCAAAATCTCAAATATAATGACAAATACCAGTTATCATTATATTGGCTTCAACTTTACTGTTTAGATACAAAATCATTAACGACACTGTGCGCAAGAAGACCTACGTCAGGAAAGATGACGGGGAACTCATGGAAATAATTCGGGACAGATTCTCAACCAAGACCTACCTGAGGACTAAATCCGGACGTGTAATCGAGCTCGACGGTTCTGAAGACGGTGATGGGGGCATGGACGTTTACTATGACCCCTTGACTGGCAAGACGTGGGTGAGGGGTCAAGACGGTGAGATGTTGGAGCTGATTAAAGATGAGAAGACAGGGAAGATGTATTTGAGGACTAAGAGTGGTCGGTTGCAGGAGGTCGGAGCCCACCTCGAGTTCTACAAAGATCCCATCACAGGTCATTGCTCGAGAAAAATGATCTGGATTTTTTAACTTTCATACAAACTTGGTGACACTGAACTTGCTGGCACTCCATTTGAGCCCAATTTACTTTAAATTTATTTTTTATACTTTATTTAAGATATAATTACATTTCATTTTGCATTCTAATCCTGCAAACACTTCCAGTTCTACGCAATTGCTGCATCCTGTTCTGAGAAAAAAAATGGTTGAATGACTACCTTGATATGAGCATTTTCTGCAGCAATAATGAGCTCTTTACGCTGTACCTTTAGGGAAGACTATTCTGCGCGAACGAAAGAATCCAGGCATGCAGGTATTCACAGACCCTGTGACTGGGAAAAAGTACGTCAAAACTGCAGACGGTCAGATCTTAGAGATCTGGACTGACCCGGAGACAGGTAAAACTTACATGCGGACAAAGAGTGGTCGAATCGTCTCCGAGATTGACGAGAACATGATATTCTATACGGATCCCAGGACAGGAGTGACCTACTTGGCAGCCAAACCAGGAGCTGCGCAGTCTTCGGTGTTCACAGATCCCAAAACAGGTCAGAAATCGTTATGCATGATCAAATACATTCAAGTTTGTGCCATCAAAAGAGTCTGCAAAAACATTTTAAAAAACACAACCTAAGTGCTAAAAGTTTTCCTCGAACTCTAATGCCTGTCGAAGATGTAATCGCTGGTTATCGCGTATGTCTTTTGTCTCAAATATCTGGTTAAAAACGAACTGCATTTAGGCAAGACATATATTCGAACCAAATCCGGCCGCATTGTCGAAGCACCGGTGGAGGAGGGAGGCGAGTTCTTTATGGATCCGACCACAGGCAAGATGTTCCTGCGTACCAAGTCAGGCAACCTCAGAGAGATCCCATCTGACGGCGTTGAGGTCATCAAAGACCCTAGCACTGGCAAAGTGTACATGAAGACTAAATCTGGAAGACTGATTGAGATCCAGGGGGATGTTGACATGTATGTTGATCCTATCACAGGTGAGTAGCAGCAAAAGGAAACAATTTTGCACGATTACAGCATGCACGTAGACTAAAAAGAGACAAAGAGCATTAAAAACTATTCTATCGAAATTTGGTCACTCTGACGTAGCAGCCAAACTACATACAAGTTAACTGCCAATCTCAGTCAGCAGCAGATAGCAGAGACAAAACCTACAATCCAGTATTGGTTAAATCTTTTCAGTTTGTCACGGTCACTTACTATGAAACAACGAACTTCTTAAATCAGCGAGAACGTAATTGAGCATGCATTAGTTATTTTAGAGATAATTTATTGAATTTTAGGGAAGACTTATTTGATGCACAAAGGGTCCAACATCATCACTGATCCCAACACCGGCAAGAAAATGGTTCGCACGGCTTCAGGTAACTATCAACCCAAAACAGTACCTAAAGTGTCTAGCCAGTGAAAACAATACATTTGAGTTTTTAGGGCGCCTGGTTGAGGTCAAAGGTAGCTTCGAGGTTTACGTGGACCCTGACACCGGCAAGACTCTTCTGATGCAGACAACTGACGATGGTAAAACCATCTTGACAGATCCCAGCTCGGGGAAAGTGTTCATCAAGACTGCCTCGGGAAGACTTCAAGAATTGGTGGACGAAGGAGGCATTCTTTACGATGCTAGCACAGGTATAATAATAATAATAACTTATGCCAAGAGAAAGCTGAGCATGTGTTAAATACATGAACCGGCAAGACAATGAACTGTTTATCAAAAAAATCTTATTAATTTTTTTCTGCTTTGCCCAGGAAAGAGTTACTTGCGTACAGAGAGTGGTAAGCTGATCGAAATCACCAATGACAGTGAAATGTTCGTCGATCCAGAGACTGGCAAACTCATGATGCGCACCAAGAGCGGAAGAGTGCACGAAGTATCTTCCGATGTCAATGTTTTCACAGATCCAAACACCGGAAGGACCTATGTACGGACCAAGTCTGGTCGCTACTTGGAACTTGACCCAGACGCTGAGATTGAAATTGATCCGTTAACTGGAAAAATGTTCATTCGCACCAAGTCAGGAAATAGACGCGAGTTGGCCGGTGAGATGGAGGTACATAAAACATGTTCAACGTTGTGTTAAAGGCTTTTATATCCAATTTATGAATGAGATACTCCATGAATTTAAGATAAGTCAGTATATCAGTCTAGTTGATGAATAATTGAAATTCTCTATTAAGGTGTACTACGACCCCGTTACCGGAAAGAAGATCATGAGACCAAAAGGTATGTCTGGATTCGAAATTGTGGTTGATCCTAAGACTGGAAAAGCGTTCATGAAAAGGCAGAATTTGGACGATATTGATTTGAGCAAGTTGAGCCCAGAAGAGAGAGCCAAAGTTCTAGCCAGACGAGCCAAGCAAAAACAACTCAGAGATAAGCTGATGAACGAAGCAAGCGATGTGGAAATGGCCGCAAAACTCGTGAAATTGGAAGAACTTGCAAAGAAAATTCAAGAAGCCAGAGCTCTGATAGAAAAAATGAAAGCTGATGAGGATGCAGCAAAAGCAGAATTCGAATCTAGTTTAAACGAATTTCAGTTATTGATGCGAGAAGAAATGAACTTTTTAAATCATCAGCACAAACTCAGCAAAGCGTTTCTTTACGCATATATTGAATCGCTGTTTAAGAACAAAACAAAAGCAGGCAAAAAAGATAGCAAGAAAACTACTAAAAAGAAGAAAAAGTAAACTACAAAACCCAAGATTAACCAGTAGTAACTAGGAATAACTTAGAAAAAACATTAATTAACCTGTTTTCATGTTTTAACTATACTGCTTCTACAAACGCCTATCCGATGATAACTTTCCACAGAGAGTCAAATAACATTTTGCCCTGGCGGCGAAGCGTATCCAATTCTACTTCATAAAGACCTATAAAACTGTTTAGTTTCAAATCAGTATACAAGAAACTTCAAAAACTCAACAACGCGTAGTGCAGCTGGCTGTGTACGTAGCACAGAAGGTTTCGAAAATAACAGCCCCTATTTTGAACGTTTTTTTTTTTCAGTTAAGAGTTCTTTTTTGTTTAAATTGTTTGTTTTTCAATAACTTTTTGTAGACTTTTGAGTTTATGGTGTCGTGGAAGCTCCAAATGAGGCTTCGCTGACTAGTTTTTCACAGCTTAAAACCTAGTTTATCAGTTAAAGCACCACATTTTCACTCGCTGACTAGGAAGCAGACTTTAAGTCGCTGACTAGGAAACATACTTGTTTATTCGACACTGAGTAAACAATTAAGACTTTAATAAATGTCGAATCACGACTGGAAAGGTTTTGACATAACCTTTCTGTTCACTTCATCTGATGTTTATCGTCGTACCAGATTGAAGGTAGACAACACTTCATAGCCCCAGTTCGTGATCGTAATAATAAGCGCTTCGAGATCTTATTATTCTATCTCACAGAGGCAAAGCGGAGCTTCACACAACTGGTTTTTTCCATTATTGTCCCTCCAGTAAATTATAGCCCCTACAGTAAATAACTCAGAAAACAAATGAATATGCACAGTAAACTAGCATGTGCATCTATACTTATTCAAGCATAACCAGTATCTATATGTAGCTCGAAGTTCAATACTCACAAAACATGGATGCATTTATGTATAAATGCACTTACCATGAAAGCACTACAATTGTTTTTACATGAAACTTTGAAAAGTTTAACTCAAACGTTTTCGCAACTATGTGGTTGGCCAGGATTTTAACAACAAACTAATCTAAATGACAAAAAAAAAACATCAACGTACAAATGTTGATGAAGTTCCATTTGAACCAAGATTCATTTGTCCCAAAATGAAATATCAGTACCATTTGAACCAAAAATTTTTAACTCGCTTTCTGATTGGTCGAATTGTGTTCCAACAAATTATTAATTATATTTTCTACTGCTCAAACAGCATAAAGTAAACCAGCAGAATTGTGCCAGTCGGTCGCATTTGGAAGTCAGTCGAATTTCGAATCGACCATGTCATGCTCAAGTGTCTCGCGACAACTAAAAATCAGAAGTTAATGATATGACAAGAAATAAATCAGAAATGCGGGAAAATCGATAAAAATCAGGCTGTTCGCAATTTTACTGCAATCAACAACCCGAGTAGAGCTGTCTTGTTCCTGATAAAGAGCAACGCGAAGTCTTACGAGAGTATCATCGTAGGGCGAGAGAAAATGTTGATCGGGCAAGCAGACGAGTGAAGCTGCCCAATGGTTCAGAAAACGAAACTTATTGATTCAAAACTCCTTGTTACAAAAATATTCTAGAAATGCTTTACTTCTAATATTTACCTAATTCTAGAGTCGCGTCACAAAATGAGTACTTAGTTTAAGAAACTTTTGCTAAAAAGTAAATTTCAAACGTGTTCGCAACTATGTGCATCGTCAGAGTTTTTACAATAATTTAATCTATAAGATGATAAAACATTAATTTACAAATTTTTGGGACCAAAGTTTCAGTGTTAACGCCCAGTTCTCAAACTCATCGCGCTGGTTCAAGCCCAGTTTCTCTTTCCTGATATGTATTGCCTCTAATGTTAACCATTTTGTTTGGTTGTTGGACCTATCTATAATTTGCCAACTAAGATCTGCGCTATTTCCCTCAAGTTGGCATTGCTGAAGGTGGAGGCCTACCGGTAAGTCTGCTTTCTTATGTTCCTCAATTCTAGTGGTCAAATGTCGAACAGTTTATCCGACAAAGGTGGAGGTGAATCCACTACATGACAGTTTATAAACCACTCTTGACTTGAGGTCATTAGAAAATGCTGACTTCAGTGATGGTAAACAAGATTCTAATTTTCTTGTGGTGAAAACCATTTGAACGTTAGCTAATTTTCTGGATGATACTTAGTTTAATTTTTCTAGGGCATTTTAAATGATTATGTGGAGATAAGGCAAGTTTTAGGTTGATCTATCTGAAATGGATCATAGGTCCACTGTCCAATAAAAGCTAATGGTATACTACAGCTTCCGACACTGTTCTTAAGGGGGTTCGCGTGTTTTAGGTATTTAGAGACCTAGCCATTGGGGTGTTCTTATTTCTAGAGTGGGGGGTATTTATGTAGTGGTTTTTAAGCGGTACCACTATTTGTAGTCTCATATATTACGCGAACCGAATTGACTCCGACCGAATGAGGTATAAAAGCAAAGAGATAGTGTCCCTGACCCTTGAGTCAGTGGTTATTGGGTCTGTTTTTCTGAAGTCATATATGATTTAAGGAGGCGACTGTTACATAATGTTTTTATGGCGCTCCAGGGTGTTTTACGACATGAAAACTACAAGATGGAACCCTTTTTTTGACGAAGCTCCGGGCTACATGCCTATTCTAGGGTACCGGTGGTACGGTTCATCTGGAACGTGTCCACCTTTTGGTTGTACCGTGATAGCATTTCTCGATGCGCTTTCTTTCTGATACGAGGCCTCGCTAACTGATAATGGGGGACCACTAGAGGAACAAAAACGGGTAAAAGACAAATAGCGAAAAAAAAAACGGAAAAGATTAGAAATAGGAAGAAAAAACCATAAAAAACTAAAAAAAAAAAGGACAGTGACCTTGATTTCCAGATACGGTGGATCAGTATTTCATTTAACTAATAGTATGTATACTCATACTGTTTTACAATAAGACCGATCGTTTCGATCAAACAGCAAGTACTCAGCAGATGCCCAAATACGGGGCGTTGAAAGGGTTTCCAGATATCTTTGCAACCTTGGAGAACCACTGGGAGACTTCACTGAAAAAGGTGACCAGACGAATAGCAAGTACGAGTTACTGAGGCAGTTCTGGGATAAAAAATTGAGTGTCCCAACAGTAGAGTGTTACACGAGTTCGGGAGGCAGTACTGGGATTGCAAATTAATGGTCCGAACACTTGAGTCCTGGGATAGAAAATTAAGTGTCCCAACACTTGAGTACTGGGATAGTAAAATAAGTGTCCTAACACTTGAGTCCTAGGATACTAAATTATTTTCTAACATTTGAGTCCTGGGAGTAAATTGAGTGTCCCAACTCTTGAGTCCTGGGATAATAAATTAAGTGTCCCAACATCTGAGTCGTGGGATAGTAAATTATTGGTCCCAACACTTGAGTCCGGGGATAGTTAACTAAGAGTCCCAACACTTGAGTCTTGGGATAGTAAATTAAATGTCCCAACACTTGAGTTCTGGTGTAGTAAAAAAAGTATCCCAACACTTAAACTCTGGGATTGTAATTTAAGGGTCCCAACACATTGAGTCCTGGGATAGTACATTAAGTGTCCTAACACTTGAGTCCTATTATACTAAATTCAATTCCTAACACTTGAGTCTTGGGAGAGTAAATTGAGTGTCCCAACTCTTTAGTCCTGGGATAAAAAATTAATTGTCCCATCATCTGAGTCCTGGGATACTAAGTTAATGGTCCCAATACTTGAGTCCTGGGATAGTTAACTAAGAGTCCCAACACTTGAGTCTTGAGATAGTAAATAAAGTGTCCCAACACTTGAGTTCCGAGAGTTGTGTTTTTTCGCGCTGGATACTGAAGAGTCCTGGGATAGTAATTTAAGCGTCCCAACATTTGAGTCCTGGGATAGTAAATTAAGTGTCTGAACACTTGAGTCCTGGGATAGTAAATTAAGTGTCCCAACACTTGAGTCCTGGGATAGTAAATTAAGTGTCCTAACACTTGAGTCCTAGGATACTAAATTAAATTCCTAACAATTGATTCCTGGGAGAGTAAATTGAGTGTCCCAACTCTTGAGTCCTTGGATAATAAATTTAGTGTCCCAACATCTGAGTCCTGGGATAGTAATTGAATGGTCCCAACACTTGAGTCCTGGTGTAGTAAAAAAAAGTATCCCAAGACCTGAACTCTGGGATAGTAAATTAAGGGTCCAAAAACTTGAGTCCTGGGATAGTACATTAAGTGTCCTTATAATTGAGTCCTAGGATACTGTTTTAAATTCCTAACACTTGAGTCTTGGGGGAGTAAATTGAATGTCCCAACTCTTGAGTCCTAGGATACTAAACTAAATTCCTAACACTTGAGTCTTGGGAGAGTAAATTGAGTGTCCCAGCTCTTGAATCCTGGGATAATAAATTAAGAGTCCCAACACTTGAGCCTTGGGATAGTAATTTAAGTCTCCCAACACTTGAGTCCTGGTGTAGTAGAAAAAAAGTATCCTAACACCTGAACTCTGGGATAGTAATTTAAGGGTCTCAACACTTGAGTCCTGGGATAGTACATTAAGTGTCCTAACACTTGAGTCCTAGGATACTAATTTAAATTCTTAACAATTGAATCTTGGGATAGTAAGTTAATGGTCCCAATACTTGAGTCCTGGGATAGTTAATTAAGAGTCCCAACACTTGAGTCTTGAGATAGTAAATAAAGTGTCCCAACACTTGAGTTCCGAGAGTTGGGTTTTTTCGCGCTGGTTACTGAAGAGTCCTGGGATAGTAATTTAAGCGTACCAACATTTGAGTCCTGGGAGTGTAAATTAAGTGTCTGAACACTTGAGTCCTGGGATAGTAAATAAAGTGTCCCAACACTTGAGTCCTGGGATAGTAAATTAAGTGTCCTAACACTTGAGTCCTAGGATACTAAATTAAATTCCTAACAATTGATTCCTGGGAGAGTAAATTGAGTGTCCCAACTCTTGAGTCCTGGGATAATAAATTTAGTGACCCAACATCTGAGTCCTGGGATAGTAATTGAATGGTCCCAACACTTGAGTCCTGGTGTAGTAAAAAAAGTATCCCAAGACCTGAACTCTGGGATAGTAAATTAAGGGTCCAAAAACTTGAGTCCTGGGATAGTACATTAAGTGTCCTTATAATTGAGTCCTAGGATACTATTTTAAATTCCTAACACTTGAGTCTTGGGGGAGTAAATTGAATG